TTAAGTTATACGGCACCGTTTGGGGTGCTTTATGTAATTTTTTTTAACAATTTTTACCAAAAACGATGTAAAGTGACTTCTTCTCCCGCCTTCTTCCTCAACTCAGTTGGCCTCTTCTTCATCAAAGTGAGTACTTCTCCTTACCAGTGAATGCCAAAAGTCAGGTAAGTCAAAGTGAATCTTGCTTTGATCGGGTTTGGGTTGAGTCCTGAGTCGTCAGGTAATTCATGTTTTGTGGTTTTTGGGAGTTATAATGAGGTTGTTTTATTTAATAATGAGGCTATTTTTTTTTGTTGGCTTATAAGTTAATCGGATTTGGGAGTTAATGAGGTTGTTTAATCATGTTCTTGTGGTTTTTTTTTAAGTTGTTGGCTTATAATAGTGAGGTCGTTTTTTTTATTAGCTCATAAGTTAATCGGGTTTGGGAGTTAATGAAGTTGTTTAATCATGTTCTTGTGATTTTTTTTTGGTTGCTGGCTTATAATAATGAGACTATTTTTTTTTTTTTTGTGGCTTATAAATGAATCAGGTAGTGTCATGAAGCCAATTTTTTTGTACATATTTTTTTTTGTTCTTTTGGCTTGTGCATTTATTATGTGTTTCATTCACCACATAATGTCATTTCAATTAACTATCTTATTGTAGGATACAATGATGAATGATTTGGGAGTTAATGCGACTGAAAATAAACCTCATATTGATATGCAATTTGATGCGGAGGAAGATGCTTATGTGTTTTACAATAATTATGGAGGATCTGTGGGATTTAGCGTGAAAAAAGATTTTCAGAATAAAAATTTGAAAGATGACGTTGTCATTTACAAAAAATATGTTTGTTGCAAATAAGGTCAAAGGGTTCGTGATAAAAGAGAGTGGCAAATAAAGAAACCTTGAGTAGAGACAAACAAATTGCCAAGTTCATATGTACATATCTCTTAATAGAGAAATTGGTAAATTTGTTGTGGTGAAATGGGACGACAACCACAACCATCCTTTACACCATGTTGAATGTATGCATATGATGTCATTCCAACGAAAGGTTACCGGAGCACAAGGCATTAATATTGATATGATCGCGAATTGTGGATTGTCACTTAAAGCTTCCTATGAACTTTTAAGTACTCAGTTTGGAAGAAAGGAAAGTTTTGGTTTTACTCGTCAAGACCAAAATAATTACCCCCGTGAAAGGGGGCAACAAGACTTGAGGTATGGTAAGACGGGTAGTTTGTTGAAGTATTTTCAAGTGAAAATAGCTAAAAATCTATCATTCTATTATGTAGTGCAATTGGATGCGAAGGAGCATATTACTAATATTTTTTAGGCCGACCCAATGATGATTATTGACTATGGCAACTTTGGAGATGTTGTCTCATTTGACACTATTTTTAGAATGAACAAGGAGTATCAACCATTTGCTTGTTTTACTGGCTTCAATCATTTCAGGGAGACAGTCTTATTTAGAGCTGTATTATTGTATGATGAAATGACAGCATCATTTCAGTGGTTGTTTGAAACATTCCTACAAGTTATGTCTGAAAAATATCCTATTACCATCTTCACGGATCAAGATCAAGTGATGACTAAGGCTATTTCTATAGTGATTTCAGAGACATACCATGTGTTATGTACTTGACACCTTTGTCAAAATGTTTTAAAATATTTGGGGAATATATATAAGGATGGTTCACAATTTTTTACTCGATTTAAAGAGTGTGTGTAAGGATATGAGGAAGAGCATGAATTATTTGAGGCTTGAGAATCGTTGCTTGCGGAATATAATTTGCATGATAATATGTGGATAAAATTCACTTGGGCATTGCAAGAGAAATGGAGGCACGTGTATATGAAGAGAACTTTCACTAGAGGAATGAGAAGCACCCAACTGAGTGAGAGCTTGAATGCAGCCTTACAGAAGTACTTAAAGCCAGACTAGATAAGCGGTATAAGGAGTCAGACTCAGAATACCAAGCTAGACAAAAATTACCCAGATTGAAGTTAAAAAGAGCTTCAATGTTAGTTCAAGCAGGGCAAGTGCACACTCCTACTATATTTGAGCTGTTTCAAGATGAGTATGATATCTTTTAGTATGCTATTGCGACACCATGTGATGTGTTAGACGGGTGGCATCAATTTGTGGTTCGATTATTTGATGAACATAGAGAGTATTTGGTCTTGGTTAAGGCTAATGAGGAGAAAGTCAATTGTAGTTGTCGGAAGTTTGAAATAGAGGGCATATTATGTGGCCATGCACTTAAAGTCTTGGACACGATGAATATTAAACAAATTTTTGAACAATGCATATGTAAGAGATGAAGACGAGATGCAAGAAAGAGTTGTTGGATAGCCCTCATTTCAATGTCAAATGAAGAGGATCCCAAGTTAATGGCGGCGTCATGTTACAGGTAGTTTTGTCCTAAAATGGTACAACTAGCTGCAAGATGCTCTGGTCTTCAACCTGCATATCAATTGGTGTCACGTGGTGTTGAGGAATTGTTCAAACAAGTGGATAATATATATGCATCAATTGGTGATGGTGGCGATGATTCAATCCATGAAGAAAGAATATAAAATGTTGACTCAAACCTTCTCCAAGTTAAAAGTTTAAAAATAAAAGAAGGTGGTTATAAGGGTTGAGATCGACTAAAATCTTGGCATGAGAAAACAACAAAGAGAAAAAAAAGAGTTTCTCAACCATCACATATGTCTACGGTATCGTATAAATATAATTATAGATTTTTTTAATTCACTTCATATTTTTATAAACATAAATTGTAAGTATTTTTGTATTCCAGGTACAAGGTTTCAGTCACTTGTGTACATCAGCATATGGTCATTTGATGTCTTCTTAAACTTCAAATAGTGTATAAAGTGTTATGATATGTTACCTTATTGTTAATTTTATTGTTTCACATATGTATCAAGTTTCTTTGTCTAACTCTTTCTCATTAATGTAAGGTACTCCGACTGATTCAATACATGTGCATTTTTTAAATGATGCTGAATTATTTTTCCTGAATTGAGGATTTAACTTGTAAGGATGCTTGGAGGATTAGTAGTTAAAAGGATGCTTGGATCATTTTTTATTTTTAATGAACCATTTATTTTAGTTGGATCATTTTGTATTGTAAAGATGCTTGTTGTATTTATAATGAATGTGATTTTCCAAGTCACAACAATATACAAAATCCACAATTTCATTCAAATTAAATGCATAAGTTCATTCACAACACAAATTCCATCAATACATCATTGCTCTTACATCTCTACTTCACTAGAATCACAAACACGTTGAACTACATTACAAAATTCTAAAAAGAATGAATTACAAGAATCAAAGAACAAAATGTTCTAAAAATATGAAAAAATGGCTTTAATCCTTCAAGATGGACTAAACCATTTCTAATTACATTTTGGGAACCCTCTAAGTCTGAAAAACTTCTGCCTGAATCCCCAACTCCATGCTCCAGATCAGTGCAGTACTACAGAGACAAAGTAGAATAGTCCAATGCAGTCCAGTGCAGAGAGAAAAAACAGCTCCATGCTTAGAATGCACAAACTAACTGCCCAGACTTCAAAGCATGCTCCCAACTCCTGGCACCACCCTCTAAATCACAGCGTACAAACCCTGATGTAACATCCTACCAGAAATAGAACATTGCCCAAGCAATCTACCAAAGCAGATAGAACATCTAGACCTACAGAAAGTAATCCAGAACTGGATCTGAACACCACACATCAGCTCATAAACATCCTTGCTCATCCCTGAAATTGCATAGCAATCTGTCAAAAAAACAAACCACCACTGAAACAACAAGCACCTATCCACACAGAACAACACCAATCCACAAAACCAAATCAACCCAACATCCAAAACCATCAAAACCACACAAATCAGTACCTCATCAGCTACCCTAAAAAACAATGCAGCACCTACTGCCCAGCATAACTGCTATCACCCAAAACTGTTTGCCCATATAGTAGCTCATTGAAGTAAATGATCAAGCCTGATCAAACATGAAACATATAAACATTCAAAGTGCAACAAGCCAGACTGAATGGACATTATACAAAATTATAGGTAGCAACAGAAGGAAATTCCAGTGACACGGGAGGATTCTTATTTCTCATAAAGCCATAATGATCATGCTTTGGTATATAGTGTAGCTCTATATAGCAAGAGGCTGGGACTTTCCATTAAAATGGAGCTCGATGGCATCTATAGGTTGATTGTATAGGAAAAAGTCTTATTAATTGATGTATTGAAACCAATGGCCTAACTTCATAATAGAATATACATATTTCAAGCAAATCCCAATGATTTCACAGTGCACAAGTGGTTTAACATGATCAACATATGAATGTTCTTATAGTTATCATGCCCCAATGCTGATACAGAAAAAATAAAATAAAAAGCCCGGTATCTATATACAAGTTGACATTAAAAAAAAAAAAAAAAGAATTGGCCAAAAATTGAAAAGAGAAAAACAATGTGTTGGTATCTATATGGCACCAACTACAGAGAATTGAATTTATTCTTCATTCACACAGAGAATTGAATCTTACAAACCAAAACAATTTGGCCCATTCAATATCAATCAAGTAAAGGTTACACAAATTATCAAAAATACCTCATTCAGTGTATATATATACACACACACGAATTGAACATTGTCGATTTGGTTATGCTGAAAGAAAAAATCTCTGTACACGAAATAGAGCTCAGAAATAAAGAATCCCGACTTGCTAATCTTGGTCTTGGTGTTGGAGATGTTGATCTTGGTTTAGGGTTTTGGTTCATTTTGGGGTTTTTTTGAACGGATTTGAGTCTGACCTGGGAAAAAAAACGCTGTCGTTTTTGGTGTAGGATTTTCAAAAAAGAAAAAAAAAATGCTGCAAAACGACGTAGTTCCACTTACCCGCGTATCAAGCGGTTACCTCCTACCGTAGAGTAGCCGGATCCCCCGTGTGTTGTCCAACATAATTCACCGCCACAGTTGACATCACTAACACCACCACCCTCACATCCGCCGTCATCTCCATCCTCAACCGGAAAAGCTGTGGAAAAAGCCAGTGCTTGAGCTCCTTCTCTCAAATCTTCAAATTTCTTTCTAACCTATCTATTTTCTTCACCTTAAATACATACCCATGAGTCATCAGATGGATATAGAGCCATTTATGAGCTGCAATCTGCCTGGAGATATCATGTTAATGTACTATTAAGACTTCCCATCAAGTCTTTACTGCGATTCAGGTCCGTTCGTAAGTCCTGGTACGATTTACTCACAGACCCAAATTTTATTTTGATGCAATGTCAGTATTCCAATGCATATGAACCTAAACTCCTCGGAGTGCGCACGGATTCTGAGGATCTTACACCAGATATCTACTTGTATTCATTTAACCATATGCCCCAAAATTTACCTTTACCATTTTCATACAGTTTTGAACATCCCGCGTCTGTTCAGGGTTCTTGTAATGGATTGGTATGCGTAACTCTTAATGAAGGGTCAACTATTGTCTTATGGAATCCCGCAACAAGACAATTTAGACCTATTAGGGTACCCTTTGTTAATGCTTGGTTTAGTGATATGTCTACAACATTTGGATTTGGGTTTCTCCCGGATGAGAATGATTACAAGGTGGTGAGAATCCCGTTACGCAAATCAAATTCCACCCCTGTTTCTGTTTACAGTTTGGGTTCAGATTCTTGGAGAGCAATACGAGTTGCTGTCCCGGATATGACTTTTAGATTAGGGGCAGTTTCAGTGAATGGGTTTTTGCATTGGTTAGCATATCAGCTTAAGGAAATAGAGCTTATCGTTTCATTCGATTTGAGGAATGAGGTGTTCCAGCAGATGGCAATGCCAGATTCTTGTGGTTTTGACTACGAAATCAAGAGGGAAATTGTGGTTCTAAAGGGATCCCTTTCTGTGATTGTGTATTCTGCTCCTCTAACAGCTGGTAATTCCTTTGAGATATGGGTGATGACTGAATATGGCTTGCAAGAGTCTTGGACTAAGAAATTCACCATTGGAACCTTTTCGACCACCGTCTGGCCTGTGGGAGTATGGAGTACAGGTGAGATTATCTTTGAATATCTGAACCATTGCTCCCATGAGCTGTTCCTGTATGATTCCAGTAGCCAAGAGATTGAGTATTTTCCAACTCATGGTTATATGCATTTCTTTAGAGTATTTGATTATGTAGAGAGCCTAGTTTCTGTCAGTGGAGGGAGGAAAAGGAGTTGCAGAACATTTTCATTCATGGCAGGTATTCCCTTATTTTTTTCTTTAGATGTTATACTATCTTCACAAGTTAATTTCCAGCAAATGCTGCATTTCTAAAAGTCTGATGGCAAGGAAAGGCCAAAAGGGACGGTGTGATTGTAACTCCTAACAACCCATATTCAGTGCAATGTAACTTGAGTTTCTAGGCTTTGACTTTTTAATGTATAGTTACTTATATCCACCTCCCATAGGTTTTTTCAACTAGTAACAAGACTGGGGTATAACTCATACCACCGAACTCCCCCTTAGCTATCAAGAAATCTTTGTCATAAATTTATTTTTAAGTCTTAGATATGACTAAAAAAGTGTCGGTCACTTTGGCGAATGAGTGTTAGACACATTTCTGAATTAATGTTTTTATCTTTCAAATTTGGATGCATACAAAAGATTATCGGAGATGTGCTTGATAGTTGTCGGTGTCCAACAAATATTCACACAGATACATCGCCTTCTTAGTAAGTATTCATGCTTTTTAGACCAGTGACGTTACTTAACTTAAATGTGATGATTCCTCTTATCTGTGTCTCATCTTTGGGTGATGCATGGCTTGATTAATAAATTTTCTGGGTAACTTCTTTTTTACCTTTCTTTGTCTACTTCGGTACTATAGTTTGAAATTGAAAACCAACACTTCACTTCCTTATGGTTTTGGAATAAAGTTTTGTGGTTATAACTTATGTTATGATTTTGAAATTTTTTGCAAAAATTAACATATCAAAATAACACTACTACCCTTACATATGAATTCTCTTCTTTTTTTTCTTAAAAGTAAACCAATTTCTTTCAATCTCTTTTTTTTTCTCTATGAATCAAGTATGTTTTTCAATTAGTAAAAAATATTATAAGAGGAAAAAACAATGCAAAATGAAAAAAGATGGAAATTATTGTATTTTTAAACTAAATGGGTAACCTCTTTACTATTTTCCCTTTTAGTCCTAAACTTTAAGCAAGTGAAGTGTAGACGGAGGTAAAGTTCACTTGCTCAAACCACAAGGGATTAAAATGCAAACTACCCAAAATTTCTTTGTCAGACTGGTTGCAAAAAAAAATGATATTTTTTTGTTCTTGTCGTTTTCTTCTTCCTCATTTTAGGTGGATTCTTTGGCTTCTACATGTTTCACCTAGTGAATAATTGAATAAGGAAAATCATTTCAAATCAATTATAGAATACGAACAGAGAAACAGATGAAGGAGAAGATTTTCATTCCTTAGATTAACTCTCTACTCCCTCATAGTTGTAAGATTTTATTGTAATTTTATTTTTTTGCTAAATAAAAATTGATATTAAGGGAATAAAGTAGTACATGAGGTTTAATCAAGCACCAAGGTATGATACACACCTCGAATCCTACAAAGTAATTCTCAACCTAGACTGTAAACATATCATCTCTCACGAACTAAGAATATAAGAAGAGATGAATGAAAACCATGATTCATTCTATCATTTGTGCTTTCTAACTGCCAGTCTTGTCGAACACTCTCACCTTGATACTATCCTACGAGAGTTTGTTCCATATCCTTGAAACATTTTTTCTATTGCAAATTTAGTAGAAGCCAATTCCATAGAATATTCATTCATTGATTGCTCGGATTCATTAGAGATAAAGGTGTCCGCTCCATCCTCTTCATCAAGTTCCTCTCCTTTTTCTTCTGCACTGTTTTGGTTTGCTTCTGATGGGCATCCTTTTCTACTGAAATTTATGATGTGATGCATGTGAAGGAGGCTGGTTCACGTTGTCTAGCTTAAGTTGAGGTACAACCTCCTCAACAATCTATATAACAAGATAGTTCACAAGTTGAATTTTATTTCCTATACATTTTCCCCCCAATAAATATCACATCACTCATTTTCAATCGCATGACCAATTATTTTAATATTTGATTAATTTATAGTTTAATATGTTTTTTTATTTCAAAGATTATCCATACACGATAGTATACCAATGCTGAAAAAATTTTGTTGGATTATGTATTTTGAAAAAAAATTGTCGGTATTTTTAAGAAAATAATGGATAAATATAGATTGTAAATGATGTAATCAAAGAAATAAAGAAAAGAAAAATTATTATTTAATATAGTAGGATAAATTTTTTTTAGCGCTCAAATTTTATATTTCATCATGCTTTCAGGCACAGATTATGACTAGTAGATAGATATAGCGTAAGCTGGTTCACCGGCTTCTCATTTATATTCTCCAAAATTTCTCCAGATTAAATTGACTTTGCTTTGTAGACGCCTCAGAATTAATTTCCCTATTAGATGATGATGCTTGATCACCCTTTTTCCTCTAAATTTTGTTTGTTGGGAGGTAATGTCGTTGTTTGGCTCCTTAGAATTGATCCCAATTTTTTGCATAGTCCTCCTTTTTGGTTCCTTACATTGCACAAGAAGCCAAGGCCCAGATTTTTTCTTGGTTAGCTTGTGATTTTGTCTTTGCTGACTTTGCATCTATTGGTGAAGATTTATAAAAGTATCAACTTTTATGCTGCAAGCTTCACTATTATGACCAAGACGACCACAAGCATATTGTCTTATGACCTTCATACATATTTTGCTGCCTGTGTTTACCAACGAAGACATGCAAGACTAAAGGTGTGGATGAATTAATTTGAACACATAGCCTCGCAAATCTCCCTCTAGATTTATCCTCGGTTCTATTGTCAATCTTTATTTGCTTGTCAATCTTGAATCCTATTTTCTTAAGAATTAGAGAATCATAATACTCGATGGGCAAACCAGGCAAGTGAACCCATACCACCATTGTGTTGGCCTCTTCGACCAATGGCTGGAACTCAAGCTCCCATTATCTAACACCTATGAACTGCTGTCCAAGGAACCATGGACCTCCACTTGGTATCGTGGTAGCATCTCCTTCAAAGTGGAAGACAGCAATGTAGTAACCTTCACTAATAGTTATGCATTCCATTCTACCCTTAGTTTGCTATAAGGTAGCCCATTTCTCAATCAAGTATGGAAGGTTGTATCTTTGCCCATAGGTTTTGAAGATGATAGCATTAGCCCAAGGGTGTTGAATTGGACAAATGGATTCTAGGATTTCTTGATTCATCCTCTAATCCTTCATCTGAATTTGAGTCTCTAACTTGCACTAAGGTAGCACCAAAATCCTTGATGGTTTCTATAGTTGGGGCATTTTTGTAAGTAAGGTATGGGGTGTGAGTTATGGTGGGTGTATTGGTATGGTTAGTCCATGTGGTTATGAGGTTAGTGTGCTGGCAGTGGGGGCTTTGGCAAGGGGTTAAGGTATTAGTGCAAGAGGGAGGATGGGAAGATTTGGTAAAAAGGTGTGCAGGAGGGAGGATGGGAAATTTGGTGAAGGGGTGAGGCGTAGGTGTGGGAATGGCCTGGTGGGTTGATCAGGAAGCTTGTCTAGTGCGCCAGCAGCCATGGTTGGGTTGAGCTTTAAATCAAACAGTTGGTGTGCATTTACCGTTATAGCCATCACAAGTAAAGAGGGGATCGAAAATAGGGCATAAAAAAAGAAATAAGGGGAAATAGAAGGAATAAAAGAAATTTTCCTGAGTTAGTTTGTGAGTTAGTGGCTACCAATTTCTGGAGCTTAGGTTGATTGTTGAAGATGATAGGTTACAGTTCGCTTATTGTGTGTGCAATTGGATTTGGGGGTGGAGATGGTACCGGGTGGGAGATAGCAAGTTTGTGGAGGCGAGAATGGAAGAGCTAACTTCGAAGGGGAATGGAGATATCACCAGAGGGGAACGAGAGTGGTGCTCAAGGCTAGAATCACCAGTTGGGGGAGGGGGAAGCTCTACTGAGAGAGTGGATTTTTCCACATTACATTAAAAGGGCCTCCAAAGGATCGGTTTTTATTGTAATTCCCTATCGCCTTTGACCAAGGGGAGGTTGATTTTTAGTTTTTTCCCCCTAAGGTAGTTTATAGTATTGTTTATGGAGGGAAAACCCTGAATTTGAAATTTGGCTATAACTAGTTCAGCGAGAATTAAAATCTCTATATGCAATGTTTTAGAAAGTATAAGACGTTGTTGGCAATACCTTAAGGTTCGTCTTTTGTTGTCAATTTTGAGCCAATTTCTTAAGTTGATAGGAAATTAAAAGACATCGGATTGTTTTTTCCTTTTGTAATTGCAAATTTTAATTGGTTCTACTGTAACACAGGGCATAGATTGTTCGGATTCTTATGATTGCTCTAGGATACATAATTGCTAGGATGTCATGTCGTCACTCTCTTCAAATGTGCCACAACTATTTTGAGGCAACTACAAATCATCTTTCACTAGCTCCACTTTTTTGTTCCCTCTTCAAAACAATAGTTTTCAAGTAATAGTCTTTGTCTTTTCAACAGTTTACTGTCACGGCAAGGTGAATAAAGCTAGCGTGATTAATAAGTATTCTAGAAAGCCTCAAAAGCTATATATAACTAAGACACCACCTCGAGATGACCAGTGTTATTTAAGGCGTAAAGCGAACCGAAGTGACCAAGGCTCCTAACGCTTAGGCGAGTAGCGAGAAGCGAAGCGAAACGCTTTACTAAAGCAAACGAACAGTTAAAAAAATAAATAAATATTTTAGTTTAATTACTTGTAAACATCTAAGTTCTAATTTTATATATACTAAATATTTAAATGCAAGTAAAAACATAAACATTTAAATTAAAACAAACACTAATAATATCTCAAATCTTAATAACAATCACTTAAACATTTAAATTCAGAAAAAAATCAGCATTCAACAAAAATCAGCACTATGCCACTATCAACATTCAGTATTATAAAGAAGCAACATTATAAAATCAGAAGCAAAAAACAGAAAAAAAAAAATAGAATTAAAGAAACATAAGCAGCAACATTAAACAGAAAAAACATAAGCAACATTAAAGAAGCAGAAGTAGAAAAAACAGAAGCAAAAAAAAGCAGTAGCATTCATCATTAAAGAAGCAGAAACAGAAGTAAAAAAAAAAAACAGAATCAGAACCACACAATCAGCAGCAGGAAAAAAAAACTTAAGCAAAAAAAAAACTGAAAAAGAACCTGAAAGAAGAAGAGAAGTAGAAAAGAGAAGAAAAAAAAGAGACAAACCTGGACCGGCGAGGAAGGAGCAGTGAAACCCAGCAGTTGATCATCAAAGAGGAAGGTGCAGTAGCAATTGATCGTCAAAGAGGAAGGTGCAGCAGCAGTCAATCGTTGAACTTGAGTAAAATTAGGGTTTGAGTTTTATATTTATGGGATGAGGGGGTAATTGGGTGTATGGCATCTCATAATTTTTTTTTCAATTGCTCCAATCTAACGATCCACAATAAAAATAAAATAATCCAACGGTCCACATTAAAAATAAAAGACTACATCGCCTCGTATAATTAAAGCGCTTACTTTTTCGCCTTTCACTTAATCTCAAGGCGCTCGCTTTTTCCTCGCCTTAGTCACGTTCGCTTCGCCTGGGTC